TTAAGCCCAGGAGTTTGAGGTTGCTGTGAGCTAGGCTGACACCACGGCACTCTAGCCCAGGCGACAGAGTGAGAGTCTATCTCAAAAATAAATAAATAAATAAATAAATAAGGCAAGGGGAAAAAAAGGTATACAGTTTGGAAAGGTGGAAGGAAGTAAAAGTGTCTCTGTTAGCAGGTGATGTTATTGTTACATAAATAATTCTAAGAAATCCACAAAATTACAAGAACTATAAGTGAATTTAGCAAGGTCATAGAATACTAAGTCAATGTATAAAATCAATTCTATTTCTCTACACGGGCAGCGAACAATTGGAAAATGAAATAATTTCATTTATAGTGCATAAAAACATAAAATATTTAGAAATAAATTTAAAGAAATTGGCCAGGAGCGGTGGCTCATGCCTGTAATCCCATAATCCCAGCACTTTGGGAGGCTGAGGCAGGAGGATTGCTTGGGCCCATGAGTTGGAGACAAGCCTGGGCAATGTAGCAAGACCCTGTCTCTACAAAAAATGGAAAAACCAGCTGGGCGTGGTGGCATGCACCTGAGCTCAAACGATCCATCCTCCAGCTGCTTGGGAGGCTGAGGCAGGAGGATCACTTGAGCCCAGGAATTTCAGGTTGCAGTGAGCTGTGATGACACCACTGCAGTCTAGCCTGGGCAAGAGAATAAGACCTTGTCTCAAAACAAAAAAATAAAAGGAAAGCAAGAAAGCAAGAAAGCAAGAAAGCGAGAAAGAAAGAAAGAGAGAAAGAAAGGAAGAGAAAAAGAAAGAAAGAAAGAAAGAAAGAAAGAAAGAAAGAAAGAAAGAAAGAAAGAAAAAAGAAATTTAACAAAAGATGTGGAAGACTTCTATATTGGAAACTACAAATTTATTTATTTATTAGAGACAGGGTCTTGCTCTGTCACCCAGAGTGGGGTGCAGGGGCATGATCATAGTTCACTGCAGCCTGAAACTCTTGATCTCAAGTGCTCCTCCTGTCTGAGCCTGCCAATTAGCTAGGACTATAGGTGTGTGCACCCCCATGCCCAGCTGATTTTTTTATTTTTTGTAGAGACAGGGTCTCACTGTGTTGCCCAGGCTGGTCTTGAACTCCTGGCCTCAAGCAGTCCTCCTGCTTCAGCCTCCCAAAGTGCTGGGATTATGGGATTACAAGCATGATCCACTATGCCTGGCCTGAAAACTACAAATTTAAAACTGATTGAAATAAATGGCGAGGTATGATATGTTTGTGGATTGTTAGACTTAAGGTTGTCCATTCTCTGTAGATTCATCTATAAGCCCTTTTGTAGAAATTAACAGACTAATTAAAAAATGATAACTTTTTTATTTTGGAATAATTTTAGATTTATAGAAAAATTGCAAAAATAGTACAACGAGTTCCTGTATACCTCTAACTCAGTTTCCCATAATATTAACATCTTCCATTACCATGGTGTAGTTGTCAAAATTAAGAAAACAGTAGTAACTTACTGTTTAGATTTCACTAGTTTTCCCTAGTGTCTTTTTCCTGTTCTAGTATCCAATCCAGGACACCACATTTGATGTCATTGTCATGCCTCCTAGTTCACTTGAGTCTGTGACAATTTCTCAATCTTTCCTTCCATTTTCATGAACTTGACAGTTTTGAGGAGGATTGCTCAGGTATTTTGTAGAATGTCCCTCAATTTGGGTTTGCCTGATGTTTTTCTCATGCTCAGACTGTGATTATGGGTTTTGGAGAAGAATACCACAGTGGCAAAATGTCCTTCTCATCACATCCTATCGGGGACATGCTATCAGCGTGATTTATCACAGCTGATATTAACCTGATTGCTTGGCTCAACAAGCCTATTTTAAATTTTATATGGAATACAAAGGATGTAGAAGAGTAAAAATAGTTTTTAAAAAACAAGAGCAAAGCTGTAGGATTTATATTATCTGATTAAAGCCTTACTGCAAAGCTACAATAATGAAGACAGTGTGAAATTGGCATAAGGATAGAAAGTTCAGAAAGAGACCCACACTTAAATGGTCAAACAATTTCCAACAAAGACATGAAAACAATACAAGGGCAAATTGTGTTTTCATCAGATGGTGCTGGAAGGAGTGGGTATCCACGTGGAAAAAAAGAGGCTGAGAAATCTGGCTAAGGTCATCGAGTTTGTGAGTGGCAGGGACAGGGATTCCAAGCCAGACTTTCTGGCTAACACGTGCTATAAATTGTGAATATGAATTTATAATCAATACATTTTGGCTACGATAATTTTTTTGTATCAAATTCAATTTGAGGCTGTACTCTTGAAAAATGTCAATGCCATGAAAAAAAGAGAAAGGCTGAGGAAATGTTCCTGATTAAAGGAGACTAAAGAGGCATAAATAAATGCAATACATGATGCTGAATTGGATCCTGGATCACACAGACACACTGAAATTCCACAAAGGACATTATTGCGATAATTGGAAAATAATAGGGAGAACATGTCAGATAATAGTTTTGTATGACTGTTAAATTCCCTGGATTTGAAAATTATACTGTAGTTATATAATAATATGTTTTTATTCTTAGAAGATACATGCAGAATTATGTGGAGGTAAAAAATCATGATGTCTGAAATGGTTCAGCACTATTAACAACAACAACAATAAGAAAAGCATATATGGAAGAAATCAAATATTGAAAAATATTAACAACTGGTAAGTCTAAGTTAAAAGTATATGAGAGTTCATTGTATCATTTTTGCAACTTACCTGTTTGAATTTCTAAAAAAATTTAAATAATTAAAAAACCCTTTGATACACATTCTACTTACCACAATGGTAACACATTCAGTTTTGTCATTTACTGGTGTTCCTCTCCTCCTTCCCAGGGATTTTTTACACAATGCAAACCATCAGGAAGATGGTTTATATTCAGTCCACATTGGTCACTGCCTGAGAGCTCTGTTGCAGGGCTAACAATCTCCACACTGGGACTCAAGTATGTGTACTAGCTGGGTCCAGTCTTCCTGCATGCACCATGTAGCCTTTCCCCTTTGAAGTCCTATCACCTTACAGGTACCTTTGAGGAAGCCAGTGGGGTCCCTGCTACTGGAGGGATCTCCAACCACTATCCTTTTCCCAGTCTTGGAAATCTCTCCCCACTCCGAGGGTATGCCTGCTTTTGCTGTACTCCAAATATATTTTTTCAGTCCCCACCATCCCGCCCCACTTTTTTTTGCTGAGAAGTTCTCCCACGCTATCCTTTCAGGGTCTTTAAAAAGCACAGTTGGACTCACTTTCTTAGGTGGAGGTAAAAAAGGAAATGCATAATTTTACCAATTCATTGTATGAAAGATAAAGACGTATCTATTAATAATATGCTTCAAAAAAAGTTCAGTGTTTCCCAAGGCTGTCCACAGATCTGCATTAGAATCAGCCAAGATATCTGCTAAAAATGTTGATTTCTGGTTCTATACCTGGATGCACTGGACTTGAATCTCTGGAGGTGAGGCTGGGAATCTGCATTTTTAACACAGCCTTCTCAGGTGTCTCCTGCACCAGGGTCAAGTGTGAATTATTCATTTAACAAATATGTGTTGAGAGCTGTGTTTCATTGCATTTGGTAGAAATCTCTATTTCAGCATTAAATTATATATATATATAATATTTGATAATACTTGGTAATATATATATATTTGGTAAACTTTTTTTCTTTCAGAGATCTTGTTTCTTATGTTATCTTTTTATTTCCAGAGCCTATCATAGGACTTGTGACAGTAAATAATCAGTAAATGTCCCTGAAATAAGTGTAAATATTTGAATCCAGAGTTTGTGGAGGATCCTAAGAATCATATGAGATTGCTCTCATAGTTTCAGTCTAATTAAGGTGGTAAAATACGGAAAATTAAAATTTACAGATATAGTGGGTTTCCTAAAATAGTATATGCTTAGGTATACAAAAGGATGGAAGCACAGGAGCTCAAAACAGTAGGACAAAACTGAAGAGGGACTTTAAAGCTCAGTAGGCATTGGAAGGAAGAGGATATCTTAACTGGGTGTACCTGGGATGTCCATGGATATGGGTTTAAAACTAGCAGGTTTAGGAGTTTGGGCTGGTGCTCAAGGCTTATAAAAGGGAAAGGTGGAAAATATTAGTGAAAGACGTTGCGAGTGGATTGTGGAGAGTCCTGAATGGTGGGCTGCGAGACTGACATGATGAAAATGACATTACAGGAAGACCAATCTGTCAGTTATAATGGCAGTTAAAAATAAGTAGCTCACAACCCTGCATATTAACCAAATTTGGAATTCCCAAGTGCTGGGACCTCTAGCGGGGGACAGTTGAGGTGAATTCTATTTTAGATCTCGTAGAAACGAAAATAGTGTTGATAGATCCTGATCATCAAAAAATTCTGAATAGTGGTAGAAACTTGGGGTACTCTATACCCTATCCCCAATCGCTGTCCTAAGGCCTTGGGCCGGTCACCCTGCATTTCTAGTAGCGGCTATCATTTATGTAGCGATTACTATGCACCAAGCTCTTTACAGATACTCCCATTTAAATACGCAAACCTCTCTGTAAGATAGAGCTTATCATGCCCATTTTACTGGTGAGGAAACTGAGCCTTACAGAGACTAGATTTGCCAGATCACAGCCTGGAGGTAGAAAAGCAATGCTGTAAATCCGAGGTTGGAATACAAGGCGCCCAGGAAGTGGGGGAAACGAGCTTTGCATGACTCAGGAGGGATCCACAGCGATGGGAAAGGAAGCGGGGAAACAGGAGACTCGCTCCGCTCTTCTAGGACTCCGCAGGTCCATCCCTAGGCCGAGCGAAGAGGACTCTTTCCTGAGGAGACCTGTGTCAACACGTCTCTATTAGGCGCCGTTCCAAAATCACGGTATCTGATTTGCGAGGTTGGAGGGGCTGGATGACTCTGATTGGTTAATTGGACCTCGAACCAGACCTTTATTTCGAGGATCGGGTGAGGAGTGAGCGGGACTTGGAACTGAACTCCTCGTGTCATTGGTGAAAAGAAAACGAACCAGGAACTATTCGGAAGTGTGATTGGCTGTTGCTAGGAACCCTCCCAGGGCCTTATGGGCCCTGGTTACGGAAGCCGAGGAGGGCTGAGCGCGGGCTCTACCTCAAGGAAGTTAGCTGCGGAAGCCCAGTAAGCGGAGGTATCTCGGGCCCAATGGCGGCTGTGGAAGCTAGCGACAGCGATGGGAAAGAGCAGGGGGTTGAGACCTCCGTCACCTATTATCGGTTGGAGGAGGTGGCGAAGCGCAACTCCTTGAAGGAACTATGGCTGGTGATCCACGGGCGAGTCTACGATGTCACCCGCTTCCTCAACGAGGTGGGAGACCCCTGGAAGTTGGTGGGGTGAAGGGTGAAAAAGCCGCGTGGAACGTGTGTAAGAAAGCACTGAGGCCTGGCTGAGGGCGATAAGGCGTTCAGAAGGACCACGACCCTCTGATAGGGAAACTAGGGGGCCTTAGGTCTGCATGCAGTTCCAGCCAGCACCAAATTCTGTTGCCTTATATAATAATCGTGTCTTACTTATGTATTGAGTATTTGCTGTGTGTTAGGTTAAACTCTAAGCCATCATTATGTTTTACAGAAAGGGAAACTGAGGCTCGGGTTGAGAACGCTCAAGGTCACGCACTTAACGGCCTAGATCCATTCAAACCTAGGTCTGAAGTGCACAAACCTGTGCATTTCCCAGTATGCCTTTTTAAATAATACCGTTTTTGATTTTCATTTTCTTGAGAAGCTGGGAGTCCCCGCTCCCTCCCGCCATTATGCTGCTGTTCCTTTTTTTTTTTTTTTCCTAATTTGAGTTGAGCTTAAGGCCAAAAGGTCATAAGTTGACTTTTTTTTGGCCACTGTCTCAGATTCTGTCACCCTTTCTTATATCTTCAAACCTGTTGTATTAGATCTTGTTACATAAATTCTCTTTGCAACCATGGGGCAAGCGAGTGATTTTTTTTTTTTTAATTTAAGGGGAAAAGCATTTTCATTTACTTTAACTTTATTGAGGTATAATATACGTACAACAACTTGTGCCCATTTAAAATGTACAGTTTGATGAGTTTTGTCAAATGCATTCATGTTAAGACATAGAGCATTCCATCACCCTGAAAAGTTCCCCCTTGCTCCTTTGCAGTCATTTCCCCACTCCCAGCCAACTAGTGATATGCAACCACTAAAGATTAGTTTGAAGCCGTGATTTTTTTCTTTTTGTGTGTGAATCATTCTATCTTGAGTAATAGATTAATAATCTTGTAGTCAATTCCTTGTAAACATTTGCATAATATAACATGGTAACTGAGAAAAAAGTTTATTTCATTTCTCTGAAGCAAATATACTGGTAAAATATTTTTTTATTAATCTGGGGCCTAAGGAAGAAATCACTACATCCTGACCCATAATTCTATAAAGTTTTAAAACTTAAAGTTTCCCCAGAAGAGCATTGTTTTTAGTAAATTTTTCTAGTGGACAGTAATTTAACAACTCAATTTAGAAACTTTTTGCATTTTTATGGGTATGGCATTTTATGCTTTTAAAAGTGCTTACCCATTATTTCATCCTCAAAACAACTAGTTGAGAGTGACTTGTATGGTAACGATCCTTATTTTAACAGGGATACAAGAAATAGATTTACAGAGATTCTGGTTATAGAATTGATTAATGGCAGAATCTGGCTTAGACAGATCCCTTGATTTCTCTTGTCTGCATAGCATTACTTCAAAATTCTAGCCTTAGCTACATCCTCTGGTGTTTGCCTCATAATAAGTTCCATTTAAAACACAGTTCAGGCCGGGCGCGGTGGCTCACGCCTGTAATCCTAGCTCTCTGGGAGGCCGAGGCGGGCGGATTGTTTGAGCTCAGGAGTTCGAAACCAGCCTGAGCAAGAGCGAGACCCCGTCTCTACTAAAATTAGAAAGAAATTAATTGGACAACTAAAAATATATAGAAAAAATTAGCCAAGCATGGTGGTGCATGCCTGTAGTCCCAGCTACTTGGGAGGCAGAGGCAGGAGGATTGCTTGAGCCCAGGAGTTTGAGGTTGCTGTGAGCTAGAATGACACCACGGCACTGTAGCCCGGGCAACACAGTGAGACTCTGTCTCAAAAAAAAAAAAAAAAAAAGTAAAACACAGTTCATATCTGGTAAGCAATTGTGTTTTTCATTTGTGGTTTCATTTCGCCCAAATTTCTTCTTGATTGATTCAGAATAGTTGGTGAACCTGGAAGGAACACTAAGTGCTTACAGAGAACATTAATTCAGCCTCTGAAGTAATAGTTGGCTAACCTGTTTTACCATATCCTGATATAGCCATAGACATCACCGGGTGCACCAAGCCTGGTGAAGCTTGAGCCATGGATCTTTACCTGCAGTTAGCCATTTTCATTTAACCTGTTCTGTAATCTCTATCCCTGTTTTCTTGTTCATTCCAAGCCTATTCATCGTCGCTTACTCATTCAAATATTTAGTAAGCCTTTATTGTGTGCCAGATACTATTGTAGGTGCTGGGGATACTGTAGTGAATAAACATTTATGCCCTCATGGAGATTACACGCTACAGGAGGAAGACAATAAGCAGAATAAATAAATATTTACTAAAATATATACTATGTTAGTGGTAAATGGTAAGAAGAAAAATAATGCAGGGAAGAGGACTGTGGAATGTATGTGTATGCAGTGAGGGTACGAGGATGAGGAGTTGAAATTTTAGGTATGATGACCAGAGATGGCTTTATGAAGATGACTAGAGTAAAGGCCGTGAGCAAGGTAAAGGGGCTAGCCATGTGGATAACTGCAGTAAGAACATTCCTGGCAGAGGAAACAAGTTCAAAGGCCTTGAGATGGGAGTATGTCTGGTGTGGTTCAGGGAACGGTGAGGGAGGCCATGGTGGTAAAATAGTAGCTGAGATTGGAATGATTGGGGGGCAGATCAAGTATGGCTTTGCAGGTTTTAAGAAGAACTTTGGCTTTTGTTCTGAGATGGGAAAGATTGGAGTGGAAGAGTGACGTGATGTGACATAATGGTTTAATGGAATCATTCTGACTGTACTGGTGAGAAAAGACTGAAGGAGAACCAGGGCAGAATTGAGGAGTCCAGTTAGGAGGCTGTTGTAGTAATTAAAGCAAGAGATGGTGGCTTGGACCAGAATGGTGGCAGTGAGGGTAGTGACAAGTGTCCAGTTTTGGATGTGTTGTGATGGAAGAGCCAATAGGATTTAACGGTGCTCTGGATTTGGGGAATGAAAGAAAAAGTTAAGGATGACACCCAAGTTTTTGGTCTGCAGGAACTGGGTTGCTATTAAGTGAGATGGGGAAGATTTACATTGATTTTAATCCTTCTCTTTCCAATCTGAAATCACTCTGGGGCTCCTCCTTAGCAAGGGGTTTTTAATCAAAATATCCTGTGTCTATAGATTACCATTTTTTTGATTAATGACTGTGGTTAGAATATCCTGGAGTTTGAATGTGATAATTTCGAATTGGTAATACAATTGAATTATCTTTTCCCTAACAGATTAATTTTGCATTTTTGGAATCAGTGCTATTGGTTTAACTTATTGAAATCATGAGTGAAAATAGTACGTACATCATTGTCTTTCTACCATTTAGTAGTTTAGAAAAATCATGTTAAAATAGTCACAATATCTTATGATATTGACTAGAAAATATCAAAGTACACCTCCCTTACCAAGGGTAAGTATGATTTTGTGAAACTTTGCTTCAGTTAATTATATATAATGACACTATATATATGGTGTGTACTGGATTGCAATGTAAAATTATTTTCTTGCCGTGTATCACAAGTGAAAATTTGGGAGCTACTGACTAGTGTATAAATTGCCATTCCTCAAAAGAGTAACTTAATAATAAAATAACACATTGCAGTATTTTCAAGCTTTGTATGTGTTTTTTAGTAACTGTCAGCATAAATAGAAATATTACTTTAGGACTTGTCTTATTGATGGGAATAGTTTTTTCATTCAACAAATATTTGTTAAGTGCTATATAGGACTAGGCCCTGATGTTGTATAAAAATAAATATGGTCCGGCGTTCTTGAAGCTACTATTCTAGGGGAGACAAAAGAAAACAGAAATAAACAAATGAAATAATTTTAAATTCTAGTACTTTCTATAAAGGAAAAAAGGAGTTGAGAAAGAAAAATAGGGGAAGATCTTTAATAAGAGTGATCTGGGAAAAGCCTCTGAGAAGATGACTTTTAACTGAGCTGATGAGCATGAATTAGCTTTGGGAAGAATAGAGAAAAGAGCATTCCAACAGCATTTGCAGTCAAGCAGGAATTTGGCATATTATTAAATAGTGGGACTGGAAGAATCTCTGGCTGTGATGAATGAGGAGAGCTAGGCAGGAGCCAGGACATGCAGGGCCTGGTAGTTAGTTTGGATTTGATCCATAAGGTAATAAAAAACCACTGAAGTGTTTTAAGATGAGGGGTGACATTGAAGCAGTTTACAGATGGTCCCCAACTTACCATGATTTGACCTAAGATTTTTTGACTTTATGGTGGTAAGTGATACATGCTCAGTAAAAACCATACTTTGAGTACCTGTACAACCATTCTGTTTTTCACTTTCAATAATCTACATGACATATTCAATACTTCGTTATATAGGCTTTGTGTTGGATGATTTTATCCAACTGTAGGCTAACGTAAGTGTTCTGAGCATGTTTAAAGTAGGCTAGGCTACGCTAAGCCATGATGTTTGGTAGGTTAGGTGTAGTAGACACATTTTTGACTTAAGATATTTTCAACTTACGATGAGTTGAGGAGCATCTGTTTTTCAAGTAGATTTCTTTTGCTGAAGAGTTAATAGGTTAAAGGGAAAGCAGTACAGAAGGGAAGAAAGTAAAACTCTTTCAATCCCAAGAATTTGTTTGAATCCTTCTACTGCTTCCATGCATATACTTGTATATATAAATATGTACAGATATATACAGAAATAGAATCATAGTATTCTTTAATTAAATTATAATATCATTCAGTTGATTTGCTTTAATAGTAATAATGGTATTTTTTGGTGCTTATTGTTCTAAATGCTTTACATGTAATTTCTTTTAACCCTCCCAACAACCCATTTTAGAGATGAGAAAACTGAGGAGTAGAGAAGGAACTTTCACAAAGTCATAAAGTTAAGTGGCACAGTGGGGTTTGAACTCAGGCAGTCTGACCCTTCTAACCATTACTTTAGGATTGGCCTCAGTTTTTTCATGGCTGCAGAGTATGACATTAGGTCTGTTTTACAGATACCTTGTTTCACATTTTAGATATAATTTGGAAAGATTGGGAATGTGATGTAGGGAAGTTAGAAG